AGAAATAACAAGTGTAATATCCACTAAAGAAAAGCTTAAGTATATAACACCAACAAGGACGTGTGTTACCCTCAAATCATTAATCAAGAAAGCAGATCGATGTCCAGGCCTCCGCAATTGGACGGTTCGAACTACTCATATTGGAAGTCTATGATGACAATTTTTCTGAGATCGCTTGGAAAAGGTATGTGGGAAAGTGTTGAAAACGGATGGGAGCATCCAGTCATGCAACAAGCACCTGATCAAGGTAAAGAAACAACGAAAGTCACGGTTCCTAAACCTAAGGACAACTGGACTGATGCTGAGAAGCTTCAAGAATAAGCTAACTATCGTGCCTTGTATGCGATTATGATGGCAGTTGATCAGACAAGACACAAAATGATAGTTCATTGCAAAACTGCAAAAGATGCTTCGAGGGTCTTACAACGTCAATTTAAAGGTTGAACGACTGTCAAAGCGTCCAGACTTCAACGGGTAACTCTTGAATTTGATGAGATCAAAATGAGGGATGAAGAGACAATTGACGTATACTATGCCAGATTATGTGATCTGGTAAGTCAAAGTATGATGCTTGGAGAAGAAATCTCTGAGAAACGTCAAGTACAAAAGATTATGAGAACCGTCGTTCCTAGGTTTGGAGAGAAAATCACAGCTCTTGAAAGTTTCCAAAGAGTGGCGTCGTTGGATGTTGATGAACTTCTTGGAGAGCTCAGGACGTTTGAAATCAACAACAATTATGACAAAGTCAAAAGTAAGGGCTTAGCTCTCAAAGCTGCTGTAGTCGAGGAAAGAGAAGAAAGCGATGACGATGAAGGTCCGTTGGCAGATGATAGTGAGCTGAAAGAAGCACTTGCTCTAATCGCGCGAAACTATGGGAAGATGAGTCAAAGGCTGTACAAGAACAAATTTGCTGGAAAAAAGAGGAACAACTTCAACAAGAATGTGGTGCAGGACAAGAAAAGTAGTATGCTACTCTCAAAATTTGATTCACAACGAGTTGAGAAGGATCAATGCAGGGAGTGTCGAGGCTTTGGACACTTCCAGTATGAGTGTGCTAGTCTTAAGAAGAAGAATAAGTCACTGAAGGCAACCTGGGAATTTTCAGATGAACAAGACACATACGAACCTTCTTTGCACACAAGCAACTTGGCAGTTCATACCTCAGTCAAGAAGTTCATGTGTCTCACCACCTCTCATGCTCCGACCAAGTTTAAAGAAAGTTTAAAATAAACTGAAGCATCTGAAGATGAAGCAGATCAAAATGTGTGTGTAGATCCAGTACACTTACTTGATATGGAAAAGTGTGCTCAAGCATCTGAAGCTCTACAGAAGCTTCAAAATGAAGTGTTTAGACTTTCAAGAGCAAACAAGGTGCTGAACGAGCAAGCATCCGCCTCCACTGCTACTATAGAGTGTGAACTAGATACTGCAAAGGCACGAACTTGCATCCTTGAGAGCATTGTCAAACTTGCTAAACAAGACGGACTGGAGAAGGCTCAGACCATTGAATGCTTGAGGACCGAACTATTCTCTATTCAGAAACTTCTTGCCGAGCGGAACCAGGAAATCATGCTACTGAAAAATAAAGTTGATCGGCTAATGAACGAACATGCTAGTATGGAAAGCAAACTGAAGGCAAATTCTGCTGAGTTGAACTGAACTGCAGAAGTCGTTCGAAAACTGAACAAGGGAAAAGCAGATCTGAATGAACTTCTTTCCTTGGTAAAACAACATGGTGATCTTACTGGAATAGGGTACACTGGTAGGGAAGACATTCCTGAGTCCTCAACTGGAACTTCAAATACAAAACATACTGATTTTGGATTTGGGGACAAACTTGGAGTTGGAGGTGTGAACCTGCATGGGAGACCTTCCAGAAACGTGTTTGACAGGTTTGTAAAAAGCACTGTAAGTAAACCTCTATCTCCAAAATCTCCCTTGAAGGTTCATTCTCCTATGCAGAAATCTGTTAATAAAACTCACCATAACGTTGTTCCTATCTGTCATTACTATGGTGTAACTGGTCACATAAGACCGAAATGTTATAAAATGCAGCATGATCTTTGTACAGGTAATGTTAAGGGTTGGAATCAGTCTGGCATTCCAGTGCAGGTTCATGCCAGAACCCTCCCAAATAACCGTGCCAAAACTCATCAAGTGTGGGTTGCTAAGAAATCCTTCAACTGTTTTGCCTCTGTTCTGTCTCTCAGGACTTTCTTGAAAGGTAAATGGTATCTGGACAGCGGCTGCTCTAGACACATGACTGGTGAACCTTCTTACTTGATGAACATTCAGTCCCGTTCAAATGGGGAAGTCACGTTCGGCGACAGTGTAAGCAATAAGGTTATTGGAACTGGCTGTTTAAATTTGGGTGGAATACCTAAACTAACTGATGTGTTACTTGTTGATGAACTAAAGGCAAATCTTTTGAGTGTGACTCAAATTTGTGATCAAGGCCTTAGTATTAGTTTCTCATGTGATAAGTGTTATGTGAAAGAAAGTGAAGGTTCTTGTGTACTTACAGGTTCTCGTTCAACGGATAACTGTTATCTTGTTGATTTTAATGAAAAATGTTTTTCTCAAATGTGAGCGAAATTGAAATATGGAATCAACGCCTAGGGCATATTGGATACTCTCACCGTATCAAATTGACCAATGCAGGTGTAGTCAGGGGTGTTCCAAAGATTGCTGTGAAGGACCAGCCAATTTGCGAACCTTGTCAACTAGGTAAGCAAACGAGGACATCCCACAAGTCACGGAACCATATTGCTTCTAAACAGATCCTAGAGCTTCTTCACATGGATCTCATGGGTCCCATTCAGGTATAAAGTTATCAAGATAAAAAGTATATTTTTGTGTGCGTTGATGATTTTTCTCGATATACTTAGGTTAATTTTTTGCGTGAAAAGTCTGACACATTCTCTGCCTTTAAGTCACTTTGTTTGAAGGTTTAAACTGAGAAAGGTTTTCCCACAATAAGTATTCAAAGTGATCATGGAAGAGAGTTTGACAATTCTGAATTTGCTGAATTTTGTGATTCTCTGGGTATTAGTCACGAGTTCTCAGCTCCTAAAACTCCCCAGCAAAATGGAGTTGTTGAAAGGAAGAATCGCTCTCTACAAGAAATGGCCAGAGTCATGTTGAACTCCAAAAACATTTCTTCCAGACGGTGGGCTGAGGCAATCAATACAGCATGCTACCTCGTGAATCGTGTGTCCAAAAAAAGATTTTATTGAGAATTAAAGAGGCTTCGTCGAGGTATTGGTCTGACTTCGTATGAACTCTGGTAAGGTAAGAGTCCTAACCACAATCACTTGCATATTTTTGGGTGTAAATGTTTTATCTATAATGATCGTGTACAACTTGGGAAGTTCGATGCAAAATCGGATATTGGATTCTCTCTTGGTTACTCTAACAATAGTCGAGCGCATCGTATTTACAAAAAAAGTACCTCCACTGTGATTGAGTACATAAACGTAATCTTTGATTGAAAAAATTCTCAAGTTAGTTCCTCTGTATCTTTTAATCAGTTTGAAACTGTTGAGGTATTGCAGGATAGTCATGGTGATAAGAGTTCTGCGGACAAGGAGATATTTGAACCTTCGGTTGGGGATGCTAAAACACCAACTGACTACATTGTCCCTACGACTCAAGAAGGTTCTGTGTCTCTTAGGCGTGATCCTTCCTTAAGGGTTCAGAAAGACCATCTATCTGAGCAAGTCATTGGTGACATAAACGAGAGAGTAACCAGAAACTCGAAGACGCCAGTCAAAGAACTTATGGGTGTTTCTCATTATGCCTGCTACACCTCACTCATTGAACCGAAGAATGCTAAAGAGGCTCTGAAAGACGAGTTCTAGATCTTAGCCATGCAGGAGGAACTGGAGCAATTCACTAGAAACGATGTCTGGGAGTTAGTCCCTGAACCTTCATCGAGAAATGTTATTGGAACCAAGTGGATCTTCAAGAACAAAACTGATGAGACCGGGAATGTGACACGGAACAAGGCGAGACTAGTTGCTCAAGGCTACACTCAGACTCAAGGGATTGATTTTGATGAAACCTTTACCCCCGTTACTAGACTTGAATTTGTACGCATATTTCTATCTATTGCTTGTCTAGTGAAGTTCATTGTTTATCAGATGGACGTTAAGTCTGCCTTTCTGAACGGGATATTTCATGAATAGGCATACGTTAAGCAGCCTAAAGGGTTCAAAGATTCAAAGAATCCGAATCATGTCTACAGACTTAAGAAAGCACTGTACGGATTGAAGCAAGCACCTCGTGCGTGCTATGAACTCCTTACTATGTACCTTATGGTAAAGGGATTCAAGAGAGGATGAGCAGATCAGACATTCTTTGATCTTCGAACGAATGAGGACCTATTAGTTGTTCAAATATATGTCGATGACATCATCTTTCGATCAATATCCAAGAAGCTGGTCAATTACTTTGTTAAACTTATGTCGTCTGAATTCGAGATTAGTCTCGTCGGTGAACTTTCGTACTTTCTTGGACTTTAGGTAAAGCAAGGTAAAGATGGTATTTTCTTGCATCAGGGTAAGTATGCAAAAAACCTTGTTAAAAAGTTTCGTCTTGAAAATGCTAAATGTCCTCAAACTCCCATGGGCACTCATGTAAAAGTGTCCAAAGATGATGAAGGTACATTTGTTGATCAAACTCTATACAGAAGTATGATTGGTAGTATTTTGTATCTCACTGTTAGTAGACCTGACATTTGCTTTAGTGTTGGATTGTGTGCCAGGTATCAGGCTGCCCCCAAGGAATCACATATGAAAGCAGTCAAGCATATCATAAAGTACATTGGAGGTACAACTGAGTATGGTCTATTCTACTCTACTGATACGAACTTACATCTTGCAGGTTATTGTGACACTGACTGGGCTGGAAATCTTGATGATTGAAAAAGCACCTCTGGTGGGTGTTTTTGCATAGGTTCAAACTTAGTATCTTGGTTTTACAAGATACAAAACTGCATCTCCCTTTCTACTGCAGAAGCCGAGTACATTGCCGCTGGAAGCTGCTGTTCACAGCTGGTATGGATGAAACAAATCTTATCTGAGTACGGTATGAACGGTCGTTCGGCTCAACTTTTTTGTGACAACACTAGTGCAATAAATATTTCGAAAAATCCTGTCCAACATTCTCGTACCAAGCATATTGACATTCGGTATCATTTTATACGCAATTTGGTCGAAGATGGAACTATTATGTTGGATCATGTACCTACAGATGATCAGCTTGCTGACATTTTTACTAAAGCACTTGATTCGAAACGATTCTTGTCACTAAGAAAATCTTTAGGAATGTGTGCGATATAATATATATGCATTGTGTCAGTTGCATTTATTTATATGTATATATATATATATATTGTGTCTATTGCATATAGGATATGTTCTTCATTTTAGGCATTATAGTATGTAGGTTCATCCCTGGAAATTTTCTCTGATTGTATATTGTTGAGTTTGTTGATTGGTGGTCTGTGAATTCTGATAGGTCGAAAAATGTGCATACTTTATATATTTAATAGTGTAATTTTGTACACTAAATTTATTCGGACGTTTATTTTTTGACTTATTTATTATTTGGATGGATTCATACACATTGATATTTTTATGTTTCTTTTCAGCTAATTGGAATATTTTATGGACGCAAAGCATTGGACGAAATTTCACTGAATCAATTATCGGGTTTCCTTAATCCTGCTCCAATTAAGATGCGCAATTCGAGTCAAAATAAGGGGTAATTGGCGATGACCCAAAATTAAGTGGCAAAAGAGCCATGACCCATGCAATTGGGTTGGTCTGTCGGGCCCACTTTTGGCCATTTATTTCAAGCAACCATTATATTTGTTTGGGAGATTTCATGGCAAAGGAATTTTATTGGAGTGCTGGGAAGAGTTTGTAAAACTAAGGGAACTTGGAATTAATTTCCAAGCCAGACACTCACGCGCAGAGGCAATTTATTTGGGACGTGAAAAAGCCGAGAGCAGAGACACGCACATAGCATCACATACAGAACAACGCACGGACTGTGAAGGAGAGTTTACAAGCGGAGGGAAGCCGCACCCGCACGAGGGAGATTTTATTCTCTCTTTTATCTCTTTTATCTTTTATTTTTATTAGTAT